ATTTTAAACTTTGTAGCGGAAGGACATCTGTGAGCAGGGAATAAGTCAGCACAGAATTTGATTGTCGGCGAATTTCTGTAACCGTCCATCGTTCTGCTAGTGAGAGGCTAGCCGTTGTTCACTCGTCTTGCTTGTTTGGGGCTGAGTCTTATTCCGGTCAAAGAGAGAGAAAGAGTGTCTGGCAAGTTTTGCAATGAAAGATTGTGAACTCGTGTCTGGAAAACTCTCCAAGTGTTTATATATACACAGTTATACGCACCTTATAACTTCTTCTGCGCTTAACGAGTGTCGTTAAAATTTGGGTTTATAACTTTCACTGAAACAACTGCTCCACAGAATGTCACTGATAACTGACGCAAAAGAGTGTCGAAGTATGACTGCACAATAAATGTTACAAAATCTACCTAAGCGGTCCCTTGGGGATGTTCTGTCTTTACGTCATCCTAACTATTTCGTTCTTGCGGGCGCAAACAATAGAAACGTCATCAATACCTACCAATTCCTCGTGGCCCCTGTTCATGCAAATGCTAAACGTTGAACAATAAGCATGTGCTTCATGTTAAATTCTCTTTGACCAAACTTTGCTTTGTCTAGGTTGTTCATCGGTTTCATTAAGCGTCTTAGAATTGTGACTTTCTCTGTTAGAAATTCAAATTTGCTTTGTTCTTCATTTTAGATTCTATTAGGCGTCAGCAAATTTAAAATATTATTGTTTAAAGCAATTTTTCCAAGAAACGTATAATGGCTTGCTTTTATTAAATAATATCATCACCCAGTGTCAAAACTAGTTGCGTTCGTCAGAACGCACTCCCTAATCTGGTGTTTAGTGTGGCTCTAGGGCAGAAGTTTTCGAGTTATCACGGGTTACTGCCAATTAGCAGCCCCTATTGATTTTATCTGGGGCCGGGAAACTGGACTCTTTTCGACTCGATTTTTTGTGATTTTTCCGTACTAGTGACGAACGCGGATCCATAATCAATAATAACCTCTAGTTACTTCAAACATTAATGCAATACCATCCGCCATCCAGCGCCAATGGAGAACTCATATATCCGGAGACCCTGCCTCGAAAAGAATTTTTCTTGCATACTTAAGTGTTTAATTAGAAAAGTTAATTTGGGCCTTTTGTCAGTATCAGTCAGCAAATAAAATTGCATTATCTCTCTCCCTCTGGAATGCAGAATATCTTTTGACTCTCGGGGAAGGTTAGTATACTCGAAGGAGTAATTTGTGTGTGCGGCAAGGCTGTATCTTAAGTCCTCTCCTTTTTAATCTTTATATAAACGACCTACCTTCCACACTTGAAAATACGTTATCTAATTCTTTTGTTTTGCCAAACGGTGCAAAATTTAATTCTCTTTTTTATGCAGACGATTTAATCACGATCCGGAAACAGGATTACGAAATTGGCTTGATAAGTTGTCTTCCTACTGTAGTTCGTGGATGATGAAAATCAATCTCAAGAAAACTAAGATTATAGTCTTTCAGAAACGTGTCAGGAAAAATGCTGAACTTCGCTTTCTGATAGATGGTCAAATTATTGATGTTGTGCAACAATACACTTATCAAGGAACTAGAGTCTCCTTATCAGGAAGTTTCTCAGTGTCACGTGAACATCTCAAAGAAAAAGCTCCTCATTCTCTTTTTAGCTTGACACCACATACGAATCTCAGCAAACTAAAAACATCTCTTGGTTGTAAAGCTGAACTTGAATATATTTCAGCTTGCTTTGACTTTCGCGACAAATTATTAACAAATTAGTTTAATTGGCCAGTGATTAAATTTTAGTTCTTTTTCTTAAAACATAAATATAAATAGCTTTTGCAATACTGTATGTACTTCTATGGTCCTGCAAATAAAGCTTTTTTGTTGTCATTGTCGGTGGGGGATGTGCCGCCCAGTTCTCCAAATCTCGACCCTACTTCAGATCAATTTTTTCAGAATGCCATTTTCCAAAGCTGTTTTGAAACCTGGCCTTAAAATTCCATGCCCCTTTGCAGACCAGGCACCTAAAAAAATTGCACTCATGCCATAGGCAGCCCAATAATTAGGTGCTCTCTGATTGCTTGCTTTTAATTACGACCAGAGTGCAATCCACTCACATACTATATACGCCTGCCTTTACCATGTTTACTATTTTTAGGCCTTTTCCGTTTTATCTGAGGCTAGAGGAGAAGATGTCAGAAGAAGATCTGAATTAATTGAGTTTTATACTACAGCCGAGACCATTTTGGATAAAATGCATGAACGGATGATAACCTTACTTCAAAAGCACATTCCTAATGTGAAGGAGGATATGAAACTGCATATAAAGCAACTGAAGGAGAAGGAGTACTATCTTCTTTTTGCAGGTAAATGGCAAACCGCGCAAAAAAACATTAACTTAATTTTAACCTTAAATTATGATCCGTGATGTTTTAATGAAAGAAAACTTACTTAACCAAAAACTGTTTTCTTGATAATCGTGGAGAGAAAAAACCCGCAGTTTCACGGATAGGTATTTTGTGCCGAATTTCCCTTAAACCCACCAATGCCGAGCATACCTCTTTGATCTGGCTGGATAGTCGTGATTAGTAGTAGAATCCTCCTCGCAACCAAACTGGTCTGGTCTGCCGGTTCTCTGAATAAACGGAAAACTCCCTAGTTTTGTGTATCATTTAGCCCCTCAACAGACCAGTTTGAATGAGAAATCAGAATTAAAAGGATTTCCCAACTGAACGCATCGTTCGTATCGGTTTATTTACAGGTGAAACGTCTTCTGGTAAAAGCAGCTTGATCAATCTTATTCTTGGAGAGGAAATTCTACCCTATTCCCATAAATGCTGTACATCCACCATATGTGAACTGAAGTATGGGGACGAACGCAGGCTGGTGGTGCACTTTAAAGACAAGGATCATCCAGAAACAGAACTCCCAACTGAGGAAATCTTACTTGCGCAGCCAACAGAATCTTTCAGTTACCTTGATCAGATCTTTTCATATGTTCATGTGAAGAATGACAGCGGAAATAAAGGTTCAGTTGTCAAAAAGGTCGAGCTTTTTTGGCCGCACAGTCTTTTGCAGGTAAATCAACCTCATTTGCCCGCAAAAGTTTGTAGATAGACTGATAGTTCCAGAGCAGTTTTAGTCCATTGTGGTCTTCAAATAGTGTTATAAATTAAATCGATGACACTAAAGTTAATATGTTCTTTAATTTACACTGGATATATCACTGGAAATTATTGACAATTTCTTGCAAAACAAAATTATTTGACCAGCGATCAATTACATTTTAAAAAGATAAGGTTACTTTAACGACAATGTGCTCTCTCGTCCACATAGGCAACATAGGTAAACGGGCAGAGTACGATGAAGAGGTTGAAGTTGGAAGGCAAAAAGGCGGGAGCCTCTTCGAGGCTTTCTTGAGAGGAGAGAGGATGCTTTAAAATGTCCGGAGATTACTTAAGTTAAATACAATATATTCCCGGAAATGCTACTTTTCTCAAGAAATTATTTTGAATCGGTTACAAATTGCCAGTTTTTAGATGATCCTTGTTGAAAAGCGATCAAAAAAAGGTTCCGTCGATACTTCTTCTGTCGGTCATACTTCCTTAACTCATTTATCTATTTTCTCTCTCTTTTATCTCTACTGATTGGGCTGTTAGGCAGTTATTGTAATTTTAGGTGTGTTTTGATTTTCTTGGTTACTAATCATAGACAGGATTAGTAATCATTGACAGCCCTGGTGTCGGAGAATCTGATGAGATGGACAAGATGGTAGTCCAGTATCTACCTAAAGCGTTTGCTTTTGTCTATGTCATTAACAGTGCAAACGCTGGTGGAATTCAAAAAGACAGGGTGAGTATTTTATCCTTTTCTGTCGATTTTACCCATACGTTCCTCATAGAAGGTTGGTGAGGGGGCGGGCATAGGCACTCGCGCTTCAATCCGTGTATTTAAAATTCTCTACATTACTTCCACTTGAAACTAGATGATTTTTTTTCTGGGCGGGAGCGCACTTCAGTGGGAAATTTAAATAGCACTGGGAACATTCAGTTAATTTAACACGTCGAGATTGTGTTGAGACGTGATGACTAAAGGTCAAAAAAGGGTCCTCAGGGGAATCGCCATCTTGAAATAAAAGCCAAAATGGTTTCCGAGCAGCAGGGTTGTAGTCAGTCTCCTGCAAGCTTCTATTTTGACAGCAGTACCGCTTTGGTTCGACTAATTCTGTACGTTGTTCTAGTTCTGCAGTTTAAAAATGTGCGAATTTTCTGATACGGGTAATTTACTTGTGAATGGAGAAAAGCATCATTTTAGAGCTACAAATTTAGGCCGAGTCAGTTCCGATGAGCCTTTGGCACAAATACAGTTAACGTTTGTCAAGACAAACTGCCACTTCACCAGTTCTCCCTTTTGCTACATCAATGGCGAATAACGAATTAAAACTTTACATCAGCAAGAGACTGAAGAAGTGACCTGTTGGCACAATTTTTTTCTCACAGCTTGAAAAGCTGCTGGTTATGGCGAGGGACATGTCACTCGGGGATCCAAACCAAGAAAAAGAAGAAGGTGGATTAACGTCCGTTATAGAGGAAGATCCCTTATCCAAATGCGCGTTGTTTGTGTGCAACAAGTGGGAGCAAGTGCCAGAGCAAGAAGTTCAATCAGTCAAAGATGAAACCGTAAAAAAACTAGGAAATGTCTGGCCCGGCATTGATCCCGAATCACAAATCACCCACATGTCAACCGCTAGAGCTGTAACTGCTCAAAACCTTGGTGTTATCACCGAAGAATTTTCCTCTGTAATGGATGGAATAAAGTCAGTGATCCTGATGAGCATTGAAGCTAAGTTGGAACTTCATTGGAAGTAAGCGTTAATTTATAAACTCTACTCTCTCCTGCGTCAAAAAAGGCAGCGATACTAATATTCTGCCAATACGCTCAGACCCTTCGATGCATGCACAACAGTTCTACCTTTTTTCATTCTGGTTAAGATGAAATTAAGACAGGAGGACTAAGCATTTTGCGAAGACTTCGCTGTAAAAGTGCTTGAGGTGCTGAGAAAAAAGCCGCATTGTGTGATTCGAACTTTTTATTTACCGAACTTAATGACTTTTTAGGTCGACCAAAATGATACAAGTTCGACGGTTGATTCAAACGTCAAACTTCATTTGTCGGACTCAATTCATTTTCACGACGTACACTGGTCTACAATGCTTGTCATTGAAAATAAATTATAGTAATTTATGCATTATGTTTGGCACATGAGAAGTTCAATCGACGAGTAAAACAAAGTCGCTCCACAGTCGAAATTCTCACGTGGGTCACTCGATCTCGATTCCATAAAAATTGTAGCCTATAGCCATTTTTTCTGGAGAATTTGATGGGAGTCTGACTCTAAAATCGATATTAGTTCAATTGGACTGAGTTTGGATAAGGATGGGGTGCTAGGTAAAAATCGACTTGTGCTGGCGGTAATTAATGCAAGAGAGGGAATAATTTTCATATTGTCAAAGTTGGTTAACACTACCTTCTTTGCCTTTCCTCAAAGGTGCGATCTTTTTTCTTTGTGATTAATTGTTGCCACAGATAACTACACGTGCTTTCATTTTTTAGTTGGCTTCACAGATTTCTTACAACGATTGTGATTCACGCAAAAGTGTTCTTGGAAAATGCTTCCAATACCCATGACGACATCAACCAGAAAATGGAGAAGGTTATTCACCGTTTAAATGTAATGAAAAGAGGTCAAAGGAGAGTGATTCAGGACCTGCAGGCATCTTTCAACGAAAAAGTCCACACTATTTTGTGCCAACTCTCGGAATATCTCGATTCTGAAGACGCAATGGCGCGCTTTACATCATGGTCGGAGAACGAATTTCCAGATCAGTATATATCGGCTTTGACTCCGGAAGTGGGAGAGAAAATAGACACGCTACTGTCTAGCCGTTTTCAAGAGGTTGTAAAGCAATGGGAGGAAGAAAACCATGTGTTTGCAGATGCTCGCCTTTCCCTCGTGAAAAAGGTTAAGAATTGCTACGATGAAGCTGAATTTCAGAGAAGGAATCTCCTATTCGACGCCACAGACGTACCTCGTGGTGTTAGCAATTTTAAAAAGTTTCGGTTTTCCATCCCCAGAAAGGCGTACATGAAGATAAGAATTCTTACCTTCGCGGTGTTTGGCTTAGTCGCCGACGCTATGGATGTCAGGTTTATCACTGAGTTGTATGGGGGTTCCAAAATTGACTTTAAGGATGTTATCTCACAAGCTTCAGTAACGTTTCTCTCTTCTAGAAGAGAGAAGAGGCAACTTAAAAAGTTTGTGGAGGGCAAATTAAACGATGTTAAGGACTGTCTTGGTAAAATTGAAGTTCGTCTTCCAGAGCTGATAGAGGAGGACAGAGAACTTTATTCAGAGCTGTATGGGCAACTCTTATGTAACCTTGAGCAGGAAACTCACTTCCAGGAGGAAAACAAAGACCGCTACCGGAGGATACGGGATGAGGGGTCACAATGCAGAGATCAACTGGCACTATTTGGTCTAAAAAATGTTTGTACCACCAAAATCAACCACGAAGAATTAGAATGGAAAGAAGAAAAGTCATCGCTCCTGGGCAGTGGGTCATTTAGTGCAGTTTATCAAGGAGCAATGAGAAGATGCGGCGAAGTTGCGACTGTGGCTTTGAAGGTGTTCAATGAGGCGCTAAATGCCGATAACGCCAGCGAAATCATGCAGGAGATGAAAATGTTAAGGCAAGTTAAAACGTTTTGTTTTGTTTCTTCCCTACACGTTCTTGTAGGTCATTTTTGTACGGAATTTGAATTCCTGTTTTTGAAAGACAAACTTAGGATGAGTTGGATTGACCTTCAGAAATATTCCGTATTAAGGACAAGTGGAAATAAATTGTAGAAATCACTTTTTTTGGCATTTACTTCATTGCAATACCTAGAAATTTGCTTGAAATAAAATATTCCAATGTATGTAGAGTTGACCTGGTCCAAAATCTACGGTAGAAGAGATTTCATTGTAACAAAACTTGCTTTTGAGGATTCTTATTCCGGAATACGATCAATGGAAAGTACCCTGTGTTGTAAACTAAACAAAGTTGAAGAAACTGACTGAGGTTAATTGCACCTCTTTCCTTTGTTCATATGTCAGAATTCTAAAGCACCCTCACATCGTGCAGTTTTATGGCATATATCTTGATATGAGCAGCCCTATGAGCACTAGAGTCATCTTTGTCATGGAGAAGTGCAAAGGAAACTTAAGGAACCACATCTTCAGAGACGTGGAGTCAACGCCTGGTAGATCTAAAAAGGCTACTACCGTCAAAGAAGTTTGCCACTGGGCAAAACAGATCATTGATGGTTTGGCTCATATTCATGAATTGGGAGTTGTGCACGGGGACTTTAAGCTGGAAAACATCTTGGTATGAAGATAGAATATTTTAATATCGTGATTGTAAAAGTCTGTTGATGTATACAAATTGGAGTCCTCTCGGAAATATTGAAAGGGCAAATCTTGCAATGAAGTCTTCTCTCTGGATTTAATTAATTTGAGTGTCAAAATATGGGAGACAGTGAGCTGAAACCATTGTGTCTTTCTCCTTTTGTAAACAATAGTGGATATCAAGGTATCAGGAGAGAGAGAGAGAGAGAGAGCTGTGAATAGTCTATCGAGTGCCCTTTCTTGTGGGTGATCCATTTTTTGGTGGGGGGAGGGGGCGGGGGGATCTGTTTCCTTTTCACGATTAGCAGAAAAAGAGGACTACTTAAAACAAGTCCAAAGTAAATATCAGTTGTTTCCTTGGGGTGGTAATGAAAAGTCAAATGTGACTCAAGTGACTCCGAAGAAGGCGTTGATCGAAGGCGTGGTCAGAACAGGCAGTCAGCTACCACGCAGCGTGGAAGTTGTTTGGAAACACACCATTACATTTACCCTGCGAACAAAGACTTCTCTCGGGTATGGCTTTTCGCGTAAGCGACACGAACGACTTCGTAAACGCTAAAAGCCATGCCAGAGAGAAATCGTTGCTCGAAGGGTAAATTACATTCCTAGTTTAATGGCCTATTTCCCCACAAGTCTTTCGTAACTTAATGTAGAGTATCTGTACTATTCGCCAGAAGGTCAAAGGTTCGACTCTTGTCGGAAGAACTCGGAATTTTCCACTCGACTAGCCGGCGTCACAAACCAAGAAAAGCATAATCTTTGTCTGAACTATTGCACTATTTTTATAATGCATTGTTCCTTTAAAGTTGTCTGAAGATAACACAGTGAAGATTGCAGACGTTGGCCTGGCCAAAGCAGAAACAGAGATCACCGGCACCTTTAAGGGAACACCTGTTTATATGGCACCTGAAGTGTTTCATTCCAAAATGTACGACTCCAAGGCAGACATCTACAGCCTGGGGCTGTTAATGTGGGAGATGTGGTACGGAAAGCGGGCCTTTGGTGACGCTCCAGGAACAACGCCCCAAGGTTTGTTTGACTGGGTCGATAAAGGAAACCGTCCAGTTCACAAGCAGGGCTGCAAGACGCCTCCATCCGTCTGGGAACGGTTGATGACACAGTGTTGGGACGGGGATGCAGATAAACGCCCAACAGCCAAGGAATGTATGGAAGAAGTCAAAAAAATGGCAGTTTGTAACTAAATCTGTAAGTTCTTCTGTAACTGAACTGTGATCCTTAATAACGGATAAAGTAATAAACTGGCTGATTTGTTAGAGCCTTTGCGGCCAAATTACAAAAGAATCATTAGGAGGATTCAAAAATTCATTAGAGAGGCAATCATATTATCCAATAGGAATTCGATTAAAATGTGTGCATGTAGCCGACACTAAGAACAGGGTAACGCGTATAGGTAACTTGGAAATATATAGTTTTACAGTTAACTAATTAATCTGCTCTTACTAGCTAGCTACAAGCTACTCATGTATGGTGTAGCTTCATGGTAAGCCATTTATGCCGGAATTAAAGATTTGATTACAGATTTTAAACAATAACCGTCAATTTGAATCGACATAACAACAGAAACGACTGATATAATAGATGGTTTGTTCTACTATTTTAGCCATGGGATCAACGACTTTTCGAAGGAATCAGTGGAAACTATAAGTAGGTTGATGTTAATCAGTTGAACGTTTTGCGATCTTTGAGAATTTACAAAACAACAAACAAACCAAAAAATAATTTTGAGGAAGCTGAATTGAATTTTGTATCAGCATCAGGATTATTTTTTATTATTTTTGTATGATCCCAACAAATTAATAAAAGTGTGCAAATTTCTACCCAAAACGTTTCAGTTTGTATAGCAACTCAAGAGGTTGCCGTCCGTAGATTTAAAAGTTAATAGAGTGACAAGTAATTTCGCCATTACATGATCTTGACGTGAAAGGCGTTAACTGTTTGTATCTGTAAACAAGAGCGTTTATGACATAGTCTTAGGAGATGGCTCCCAGAAGGTAGTTACAGAGAGTCCCTGTGAAATATGGACACGAGTGAAATTGGTAGCCTGTATATTTAGTTTTTGCAGATGCAAGTTTTGTTTTATCTTAATTACTCACAGTTGTTCTTTTGACCGTGGGTCAAACTAAAGGGTCTTAAAGATCATTGAATGACTGTCTTAAGTAAAAAAGTAGACTGTAGTAAAAAGTAGATGAGTTAAAAAATGTCGAATTGTAAATTTAATCTTTCTTATTCTTACCTTCCGTTAATAGCTTATCGCCGTTGTAAAAATATTAACGACATCCTCGTTAGAGCCCAGCTTACTACCAGCACCGACACCAGTAACTCCCGACCCACCCCCGGTTCTTTTCGGTGCAACAACAGGAATTGCACCACCTGTCCCTTTATTGAATACGGCCATAATCAATACACATCAAATCTCATATCACTTGTGAAACTTTTGATTCAATGTCGCCTGTGTAATCTACAATATATTGGAGAAACTAAGCGTCACCTCAAAGACCGTTTTAATGAACACAGACGACCTATACTCAACCCTACTGGTAATTACATCCATACTGCAGATTCAGAACACTTTCTAACCAGTAATCAATCCGACAATCATATGCTTTTGATTCCTATTTAAAAACTTAAAAATGGGCGTGATTCTTTCAGGAAAGCACGTGAAGCCCACCTTATCCATAAAGTTAAGACAATTGAGTCTCTGGGCATCAATAAACGTGATGAACTGTAACTGTATATAGTATATCTTTCATTTTTTGTTACCTTGTCTTTTAAAAGTAGCCACACCATACCTAGGCTTTTGTACATTATGCTAGCATTTTTTCGAGCATTTTAGTGAGGCAAAAGCATTGAGCATTGTTCGAGCATTTTAGTGGCATTTTCCCCGGAAAATTAATTTTTTCCGAGAAAATAAAATAGAAATTAAATTTTTTTTAAGGAGCCCATGCCCCACGAGCTCCTGCGTTTTTAAAGAAAATGAAGACTAAAACTCAAAATTCACAAAAAACCTAATACAGCTGGTTTTTTTTGGCTGTATTTATGAACTTGTACAAGTTGTCGTTGTTACTTGCAACACTTGCACGTTTTTGTAAGTGTAAACTTTGAAATTAATTTAAAAAAACCGTTTGTATAATGAGCATTATCCGAGCATTTTAGTGACTTTTTTGGGGAGACCGAGCATTTTAGTGGGAAAAATGGAGCATTAAGGTGGAGCATTTTAGTGGGGAAGCAAAAGCATAATGTACAAAAGCCTAACCATACCACGTCATATTATGTAATTTCCGGTCATTATTTTACTTCATATATATTTCTGTAAATTCGTTATATCTCAATAAATCTGATGAAGACTGGTATTGGCCGGTCGAAATATCGCAACTAAACTCTATTTCACGTTGTTTGATCAGTCCTTTAATTTAACATTGGAATTATAAGTTAGGTGAAATAATTCACCATTTTCACATAGATCATAATGTACCTTGTTTACCCCTCAAAATTTTGCATAAACATTGTCTTCGATCTGAGACGACTATAGTACCCAGGTATGCAACATTTGTGTGTGTGGGGGAGGGGGGGGTGTTAACAAGGTGCAATATGGTCTATGTGAGATTGGCCTGCAAGCAAGCTCTCCTATTTGAGCACCAGCGAAGCGAGCCGCGCGAGAACGCACGGGCGAGTGGCGAAGCCGCGAGGGGCTTCTCTCGCGCGTCTACTTTTCACAGGAGAGTATTTAACAATTATTCTTCGAGCCCGAATGGGCTCGGAGTCAATAGCGCTCTGTTTGCCCCCCAAATTCTGCATAAACCATTGTTTTTAATTACTCCTGGGAATATTGCATTTTCCCAAGAGCATTTTAAGACAATAAGTTATGCAAAATTTGGGGGGCAAACAGAGTGTATTATGGGCAATTGGAAAATAGTCAATGGCTATTGACTCAGAGGCCATGAGGGCGAGAGGAATAATTGTTTTAGTAAAATCCAACTAGTTGGTCAAAAATATCGAGAAAAAAAAGTTTAGCTAGTTAAAGCTGGACTTTAATCCTTTTTTGCCGCCTAGTGGGCTATAACATAAAGCCTAGTAGTAGCTCAACCAATCAGAACGCAGCATTGATAATAGACCACTAATTGGATTTTACTGAAAGACTTTATCCTTTCTTGCTTTTCACGATATCCCCCAAATGGAGAGCTTGTTCGCAGGCTATTGGCGAATGAAAGGCGTGATAAACATTCGCTCTTTAAATATCGGACCACAAAAGAAAGCTACTGCTTTTATCGTACTGCGCTTTTCACAAACATGCGAATTCTGAAGTTCCAAAGCCATAACTGACGATTGCGTTTTTCGCTGCCGTCAATAATAATAATAATATTAATAATACTTATTATTTGGTATTGCGCAAATTAACATATATCAAAGGGAATATTAATAGTTCGCATATATCATATCTTAAGAAACAAAACTTAAACTTTAACGGGTTCAAAAGGTCATAGTTTGTGATTTGTGATTGGTGGATTTGGATCCGTTTTGTGTTTCTGTGTTTCAAGGTTCGTTGCTTGTGATCGTAATTATGATTGACGGCAGCGAAAAACGCAATTGTCAAGGCGGCTTCTGAACTTTAGAGTTCGCATGTTTGTGAAAAGCGCAGTAAACAGCTAAGAAAAGCTGATTACTGAAACAGCAAGCCATATGATTGTGATTTACAAACTTATTAAGTGGCTTGATACGAACTCTTCTAAACTGTAAAAATATCTTACTATTCACATTTAGTTTTACCCAAATCACCAGTCCATAAATTAAAAGATTTTAACCCCACCTATCATCACAAAGTAATAATTAGATTTCTCTAGGAATTTGCAAACTCCATGATGTTTCCCGCGTCACATTGCGATGGACTTTACACTTTATTGAGACATACTGATCGAGCAGTGTAGCACTGACAAAGTTTCTTTAAACAATTACGCGTGTAGCTAAAACCGCCGGTAAGGAGGTTATGCAAAATGGCCACTGGTAAAAAGAATAGAATCGATGGAATGAAAATGACGGAACTGACTAAAGTGATGGAGGTTCTTGGTGTATCAGACGAAGGGGTGGAGAACCTTGACCACGCGAGGTCTCGAATAAGATCCGCCTTAAATGCGGCCGAAAAGACGTCGAACTCATGGTCACCAGGAGAGGTAAGGTATTTCAGTGTAAGTGAAGGTTTCAGAACCGTAAGGAATTTGGCCGGGGTTCATGAGTGTCCTTCAAGAGGAGCGGCATTTCGTGATTGCTTTGATGGAAGCTATGCGACGTTAAACCGTTATTGCTTAAGACCTAAGGAAACTGGCTGTAAAATAACAGTTTTTATTTCATTTATGTACGGCCCCAAAAGACACAAAACTGTTTGTTCTGCTGGAAATTTCATTTTCTCGTTTTAAGGTTACACCCGTTTCATGCTTGGTGCTTTTAATTCTTGAATTAAGTTTGGCAAAAGCTCGACGCTGATTTGGTTTGGCAAAGCGGATTAAGTTTGACGATGTCTGTCGTGCTATATGAATCTGCATGGTATGACAGAGAGTCAAACCTCGTGCTCAGTTATGCCGTGTCTAAATAAATTCATAAGTTTGGAAATGTTTTTTTTTTTCGGATATCATTGTATTTTTGTTTTTGCTTCATTTACCACTGACTTGATACTAGTATCTACATAATTAAGTTCCACTCTGGCACGAAGTCTGTTTTTAACTCGTACTAATTCTTGCTCCTGTTGAGCGCATGCAATTAATGACAATAGCTCATCTGAGTTCGGCAAGACAGAAGCACGACGTATGAACTCATCAGTGCATTACATTTATATATGTGCCTTTACAGCACTCCATGAAAGCTCTATTTTTTTTTCTCGGAATATCAACCTGACTAGCCGCAGGCTCGATTTTAGGACCGCGTTAACGTTCTTTGAATATTTGGTGCTGATTAAAATCACCCTTGGTGTGCATCTTTTGTTGGGAATAGACAGCGTCATCAAGAATCTTTTTAAGGTCCTCAACACATACAAAAAAAGGTCAGTTCACCTACGTTCGAACAGTAAGAGGTACAAGGAATTCAATTTGCTGCATGTTTTGTTATTTTCCATCTTTTGTTGGGCATCGTGGCCTACCAACTCTGCTAGGTTAGCCTCGGCGTCGCACGCGCAAAAATGGGAGGGGAGGGGGAG